GGCCCCAGCTGGTGTCTTCCTCATCTTCTCCACTCCATAATCCCTGCTCTTAGCAATAGCCCAGTCACTGCCTCTCTCTCCTAGTCCACTATGGAATTCTGGTTTCTAGAAGCTGAGCGTTAGATCTGAGAGATCCAAGAATCCTACACTGTGCCCCTGCCAGTGGGTGCCAGAGGAGACAAATGCTCAGGAAACCATGACTAATGAGAATCCAGGTGATTTCTTTATTTTGGCCAGACCTGGAGCCCAAAATTCAGTGTAGACCATGTGGCAAGCTAGGAGAAGGTGACACTCTGGGCATCTTTATAAACCATTCTGTGCCTCAGTTTCCTTATCTAGAGAATGGGGATAATAATTTCATTTACCAAATGAGGTTATTGTGAAACTTAAAGGAACTAATTCATGCAAAACACTTGGAACTATCTGGCATTATTAGTAAATATTGGTAGAATAGTAATGATCATGTTGTTAAACCTCCTGTGAGTAACTCCAGTGTCACACTGAATATTAGTTATCACAGTGGATTCCCTGTCATGTTTTTTGATTCACTTTCTTTTCAGACCACAGTAAGAACTTCGATGTTTTGTTCCCAATAAACGATGCTGGTGTAGCCTGTGTATATCTTCTTTGTGACTCTTGGTCACGCTGTTCTGAAAGCTCTTCCCATTTGAGATCTAGTGTCATTTGCCGTTTGTGAGTATCTGACTTAGAAGCTAGGTTTTATGATTTAGTTTGCCTAGACAGCATGTACTCTCTGGAGTTGGTGTCTAAGTCGAACACTTGTGCATATGCGGAGAATCTCACATCGGCCTCTTTGCCATTGTGTTCACGAGGTTGGAGAACAGTGCCTGGCCTGTAGGAGGAGGTCAGTGAAGGCAATTTCAGAGGTGCAGTCTGCAGTCTTGCTGTATGAGTGATGCGGCTGGGCTTTCTGTTGGCGGTGGGCCTAGGGATACCATTCGCTCCCTCCTGCAGCTGTCCGTTCTCCTGAGACACCCCTGATAGAATTCCCTGCTGGGTGTGGCACTGCCTCACGGGTCAGAACTTGTTTTGCTGGAAGGGCCCAGATGCAGCTCACTTACCACAGTTAAGGAGAGAGGATCCCAAGTAGAAGTTAGGTGGTTATTGATTTGTGTAAAGGTTATAGTGGGTGCAGGTGAGACCAATGAAGGAAAGAGACAGGCATGTTCTCTTTCTAAACTCCCAGCACTGCTCAGCAGTGAAACAATTGCTGGGTCAGGTTTGCAGGTTTGACTTCTGTGCAATTATTTTTTCCAATTTTTTTTAAGAGAGATTTTTGCTATAGAGTACATGCACTTGTCAGAGAGACAGAGACAGAGAGACAGAAAGTGAGAAATCAACCCGGAGAGGGCATGGCCATGACACAATTCCTTCTCCATCATTTTTCTCATGGGATTTTTGGGAACATACACAAACATGTGCCTGGCATGAGTTTCATGCTGCCAGGTCCAGGACTTGAACTGCAGTCTGCTGCCAGGTCCAGGACTTGAACTGCAGTCAGCCATGTGGGAGTCCAGGGATGTAACCATTATGCGATCTGCTGGTGGTCCCCACCTCTGTGCATTAAAGTGAAGGCTCAGTAGATCCCAGACTACGGGAGATACTACAGAAGAAAAGCTTCTAGGGAGAGAAGGTTGGCCCAAGTTGAGTGTCCCTTCTGATTTTAATCATTGCAGTTTGTGATAGTGGTCGGTAACAGATGGTTTTCATTTAGGCTCATGTGCATTTTTTGCCTATATGCTCACATTTTGGCAGTGTTTCTCCAGGGCAGTTCTGCCAAGGCGTGGGCATAGAGAATATGAGGAGTTGAAACTCACCTGTGGCCATTTATCTGCTCTGACACCCAAGGATGAACTTGGCTTGAGTCTGAAGTTGGGATATAAACCATGTCTTACATTACTGCCCCTCGTCCTGCTCCTGTGCCGCTGACTGTCCAAAGAGGGCAGTATACATAGCGTTTTTGTATATACACTGTCTCGATTTCTGCGTAAGTGCTAATATCCCCAAAATATTTTTTATAATATTTGCTTTTATGAGAGCACTTGAAAATGTTTTAGCTTTTATTTCAACGTTGCAGTGATGGTATATTGAAATTTTAGACGTTTTGTTTTCTGCTCAGTAGAAAGTTGAGAAAGCAAGAAAGCCTAACAATTTTTGGTTTTGCTCAAGGTCCCTCCTTCCCTTTTTTTTTTTAATTTGCCAGAGGATGCATGTGCTTGCCAGAGAGAGAGTAAGTGGCGGTGGTCGGGGTGGGGATGGCAGTGCCACAGCCCCTTCTCCTCTTGTGATTTTGGGCACACACACACACACCTGGCATGTTTTCAAGGTGCCGAGTCTCAGACTTGAACCACACAGTCAGCCATGTGGGACGCAGCCACGACAACCATGCCACTAGCTGGCTCATTCCTTTCATTTAATAAATGTTTGTAGGTCAAACTGCAAGGATCCCCTTGCCTGACTCTCAGACCGAGAGCAGGA